CTTTGGGATTCAGCAGGACACGAGGAAGCAAGGATGACCTAGTCACCAGCTTGGAATGATCCGCCAGCCCTTTGGGTCACTAGGAACTGGTGTTTAACGAGGCCCCGATGGGAATGACCACCTTCCTCAGAGCTCCACAGCATAAGCCTTAGCCCAGCAACTTCCTCCCCTCCCTAGACAGCAGGTGTGCAGGGAGTCCCAGAAAGGAGGCACTGATGCCTAGACAAAAACATGATGTCAACTGAGGGAGCCAACCAGAAGACTGTCCTTAGGAAAAGTTACAGCAAAATGATAGGAAACTAACAGATGCAGCCCCTTGAACGATGAAGCCCAGCATTTTTGCTTCCCAGCTTGAGCCGTAGTTGCACCACTGCACTGAGCAGTGGAATGCACATGCCCAACAGCAGGGCCCCTCCAGCTGCTCTGAGCTCGCTCCAGCTGCTGTCACTGTCCACTGAGAAAGGCCAAGTGCCCTTTGGTACATCTGTTGGCATAGTGTCCTTTTTCACCACACTGGGAACAGCAGGAAAGGAAGAGGAAAAAAAAAAAACAAGTTTTCAATCACAGTTTTCAATTAAAGAGCCACCCACCAAATACCAGATTGGGGACAGTAGTACAAATGTTTTTTTAAGCACAAGGAACAGGGATCTCAGGAAAGAAGGTATAGGGACTGTGGCACTAACTCAGGCAGAAGGGAGAGCAGGATGGCAGGGGACAACCTGACAGCAACATTGAGCTTCAGGTCTACACCTCCCCTGTGTCAGACATGGAGCCTGCAGGGTAAGGAGAAGCCCATTGAACCAGAGCTCTCCCACCTGTGTGGGGCTGACCAAGCGCCTCTGCATGGCAGGCTAATCACTTACCTCTGAGCCAAGGTCTAGGGCTCCCTGGCAGGAGATAAGGGAGGCAGCAATGTGAGAGAAGCCACCAGGCTCCTCCCCCAACTCTGGAGCCACTGCTGTGGACACTGAGGGTGGGCAGCACTTAAGTTCTCCCTCCTGGCATTTGCACATGTGTCTAAGCTACCCATGGTTTGCTCACAAGATCAGAGAAGGGGCAATGGTTAGACTTGGGTGAGTGAAGCCAGTAGTCACCTCTGACAAATCTAGCCTTGACCCTGACTTTTCTTGCCCCTGATTATCCAGGCCCTTTGGTAGCTTCTCTTCATTCTTGTGACTCCTCAAGAAGTAGAAGAGAATTACAAGTGGCCTGGAGCACTGAACAAAGTGTTAGGAGGCACCTAAGGGGTGCTGGGTCTGCTAACTGACTCCCTCCCAGGCCTGCTTCCTCTGCAGGCAGTGAGGGGCTCTACTTGATCATTACGTTCTTGCCTATACCCCAGTCTGTCTCAAGTAGACCGAGAGCTCAGGCAGCCGTCAGCCAGCCCTGGTGCTGGGGTAACGACCAGAGAAAGGCACTACACGCCCCAGTCACAACACTACACATCCACTGGCCTCCAAATCCAGGATTCCTACGAGGAGTCGTCACAGTGGGAGGTGCCCATGGTGTAAGGTTGCTACACCACTCCAGGCCTTTCTGAAGTTTTGAGAGAGGAGAGCTTGCTTCACAGAGGAAACCTTGCAGAACAGTCCTGGAGAGGGCAAGATGACAGCTAAGCTACCTTAGGACACTGAAGTTGCCCTAGCACTCTTGAGAAGTGATGTCCAAGCCGTCTGTTCTGCGTGGGGCATGTCTCCACATAAGCCTTACCCCTCACTTTCTCCACAGCATCTACTTCTGCTCTCACATTTTAGGACTCAAGCCAGAAATGTCTCTAGGCTTTTCTTGAATTCAGAAGTACTTTTCCCTTGAACATCTTAGTCATCTGCCCCTCCTTCCCTCCAGAAAGCAAACTCCTGGTAAAGAGCAGCAGCTGTCTCTGGATCCTCACTACTACTGGCACAGAGCAGGAGCCTAGCGAATACCTGACAGCCAGCTTTTCTGCAGGGCAAGGCCTATGAAGATTTTAAGTATATATCCTGTGACTCAACCTTCCTCTTGGATGCTAATGACATCATCAGGCAGGAGGCACAAATGTCTAGGTGTCAGATTCAGCACTGTGATTAGCAGCCGAAGCTATAATAACTCTACCAACAGTGAGCTGGTAAAATAAGTTGTGGATGTTATGCAGCACCGAAAAAGATGAGATTTCTACAAACTGACGTGGAATGAGCCATGAGATACTGTAAAGAGGAAAAAGATTATAGAAGGTCACGCACACTAGGGTCCTATTTCCATTAAAATATATAGTATTTGGGCTTATGTGAATAAAAGTTTGGAACAGCAGTTCACCAACTGTGGCCCAGGAGTCCCTGGCGGGTACTAAAACCAAGAGGTGTGAGACTAGAACATGCTGAATAAAGTGGCTGTTTTAGAAGAGTATGATATCAAGGGACAGTACCTTTATACCCTAAAATCTTTTGTCATCTTAAGTTTTGCAAAAAGCATGCAATTTTGCATTTTATGTCTAATAGTCCCCAATTGTTAAGTCTTTATGGGTCTATTCTGTTGCTGGCTGCTTCTGCTGATTTACTCAGTGTGCTCGTATAGTGTGTGACCTTTAAGTATTGGCGCAGTCTTCGAAACTCTTAACTGTGGGATCTGTGTGTGGCTGGAGTTAAAGATGTATTACTCAAAGAGCACTTGGTATGGCTCCCCCCAGGTGCTGGGACACACCCAATCTGGGACAATTTTAGATTAGAAAACTCTGTAACTTTTTAGTCCTCAGCAAAGATGTAAACAAAGGCCCAGAATCACCTAAGGGCCTGCTAATGACTGCTGGCTCCCAAGTGATTTCCCCCCACTTTCACCCAAGGCCAAGAATGAGAAAGGCAAGGGTTCTGTTTTGTTTTTAGTTTTGTTATAGGGTGCATGTACTTGCGAGAGAGTGAGAGAGAGAAAGAGAAAGTGAGAAATCACCTCCCAGGGGAATGGCCATACCATAATCCCTCTCTAGTCTCCTCAAGATTTTGGACAGGGAACCAGCAGTTAGCGTAATGGCTATGTCGCTGGACTCCCATGTAGTCGACTGTGGTTCGCGTCCCAGATCCGGTGGCTTAAACTCACGCCGGGCGCATGTGCGTGTGTGCCCAAGATCCCGAGAGGAGAATGGAGGAGAAGGAATTGCGGCGTGACCATCCCCCCTGGGGGGTGATTTCTCGCTTTCTGTCTCTATGTCTCTGTCTGTCTGGCGAGTGCACGCGCCCTATAGCGAAAATCTCTCTGCCACCCCCCAAAAAAAGATTTTGGACACACACACATGCACATGTGCCTGGTATGGTTTTCAGGCCGCTAGGTCTGGGATTTGACAGTGCAGTAGGCCATGAAGGATTAGCACCTTAATCTCCAAGCCATCTGCTGGGCTGGAAAAGCAAGTTGGTTTTGTTTATTTGTTTGTTTGTTTTAAAAGAGGTTTATGCCCTAGGGCATGCGTGGTCACAGGGGGTAGAGAGAGGGACAGACAGTGAGAAGAGAGAAATCACCTCCCCCGCCGCCAGGGGATGGCCACACCGCTATCCTTTATCCATTCTCCTCCCAGGATCTTGGGCACGCGTGCACACGTGCCGGTGGGATTTTGAAGCCACTGAGTCTGGGACTCGAACTATGATCAACCATGTGGCAGTCCAGCAATGTAACCACTTAGTCCTCTGCTGGTCCCAGAAAGGCAAATTTTTGAGGTTTATGCTCCCTTAAAGACCATTTCTCTGGGGACCAGCAGTTAGCGTAATGGCTATGTTGCTGGACTCCCATGTCATCGACCGCGATTCGCGTCCCAGACCTGGTGGCTTAAAACTCACTGGGCGCGTGTGTGTGCGTGCCTGCCCAAGATCCTGAGAGGAGAATGGAGGAGAAGGGATTGCGGCGTGACCATCCCCCCTGGGGGGTGATTTCTCGCTTTCTGTCTCTGTCTCTCTCTGTCTTGTCTGGTGCTCTATAGCGAAAACCTCTCCAAAAAAAACAACAAAAAAACTCACGCCAGGCGCTTGTGCGTGCGTGCCCAAGATCCCGAGAGGAGAATGGAGGAGGAGAGATTGCCGCATGGCCATCCCCACTGGGGGATGATTTCTCGCTTCCTGTCTGTCTCTGTCTGTCTGTCTGGCGAGCGCATGTGCCCTATAGCAAAAACCCCTTAAAAAACAAACAAAACAACAACAAAAACCAAAAAACCATTCCTCTGAGTGTCTCATTTTGTGTATGGGGTTGGGTAGGTGTTCTAATTCAGATCCTCCCTGAGGGCCCAAAACTCAATCCTAATTTTCCTGGGTGTGCTTACATAGCTGAGATGCTTTTAGAGCAACCAGAGGCTTAAGGATCACTATTCCCTGGGTTCTTCCATTTTCTTCCTGGCGTCTTGTAGCTTTCCATCACTTTCTTGCAAGTGCAATTCATTCAGCATGTTTTTACTATGGTTACCTTGCCTTGATGTGTGTGGTAAGACGATGGTCTTTTAGCCCACCACAATGGCCCACCTTTACTCTTACAATCAACAAAAACAAAGATGTTTTCATTTTTCAAAACTTAATGACACATCTGGGGACTAGGGAATGGCCACTAACTGGAGAGAAGACCCTGCCCTGTCCCCCAGCCCTGGGACTTACCTTGTAACAAGTGACCTGCTCCAGCGGCCGAGGTCCCCGGTTGCCTGCACTGCTGTTTTGACTCTGCATGACCCCGATGACCTGCGGGACTCTCTGCTGATTGGGAGAAGAGTTCTGACTCGTTAACTGGATCAAGGAGGACGACCTTTGTAATGGCGGATTGTTACTTTGCTGGAAAGAGTTACACAACACGGTTTTACTGCGGAAAACACGTGCACGCAGACTACCAATGGGGACAGGAAAAAAGAGAGCGGGATTGCTCCCGCGTGCCCAGCAGGGAGAAGGGCTTCCGCAATAGCCCTGCTCAGGAGAGTGGGCGAAAGAGAAACATCTGGTGGTGATGTCAGGAGCTGCTGCCCGAAAAACACCATGCAGACACACAAAAACGAAAAATAAAGTAGAAAACAAAACATCAGAGAGACAAAAGGAGGTCTCCAGGGCAGTGGGGCGAGGGCATGATCAGGCCTTACTTTTGTTTCTGAGGTTCTAGCTTCAGGTCAGGATGAACGCTTGGTTCAGCCAGATGTTTAGCAGCCTACACGGCGAGCAACAGTCACAGAAAAACAGTTGGAGCCTGACATACTGACCTGAGGTCTAGGGACTGAGAGGGCCCTCCTCTAGGGAGTCACGCAATAAAGAGGGGAATGGGGGCTCCTGAGGTGGGAGACTTGACAGCAAGGCCAACTCTCAACCAAGTGAGTTCCTGGCTCTGGCCCCTGTAAATGCAGGACCAGAGCTAGAAAACCCAAGTAATAGTGGCTGCACCAAAACCCAGGAATTCTCAGCTTTCTCAATGAAGATTCAGTCTGATTGGCACCACCACTTTCCAGGGTGGGGTGAGCAGAGCTGGCAAAGCGCGGCCACATCTCTCCCTCACTACCTAGCCTCCAGCACTGAGGAGGACCAGGTAGAGTTGTGGCAATGGGCTCAGAGCCCAACGAAATAAGAGTTAGGCTTCAGGACCAGTGGCCCTATTAGCGACCCTGCCTAGTACGTGGGCTAGTCCCTCCTCTGCCTAATCATCCATACCCATCATTAAGCCCAGATTGCCCTTAGTGTTGGGGGCTGCTACAGACACTCGTTTGTCTTAGGCATTCTCCTCTCCCTTCATGCTTGAGGGGACTGACCAACTACTTGGTTGGGGAGTCCCTTGCTAGAAAGCTGGAGCCAGCTAGTCCTTTAGTCTTGCTCTCAACCCTCTTCCTAGCCTTCATTTTGGAGGGTGAGCCCCCATAGGAGCAGTATTGGCTCTGCCAGAGAGCCAGTCAGTCTTGCTTCTATTTCCATACCTGTTCCTTAGGCTGGCCGTTCCCACTAGGAGTCCGTTTCCCTGACTATAAGAGCAGCAGCGCCCAGGCTGTACTGTGGCTCCTAAGATGATGTTGCTGAGCTGCTGCCTCTTCCCACCAGGCAGCCCCACCTTGTGATGGTCCACCCACCAATTGAACACTTTCTGCTCTCCTGTTCTTGGCGCTGCTGTGCTGAGGTTCTAGGGTTCTCCAGGCAAGGGGAGAGAAGCCAAGTGGGAATTTAGCTCTGGAGACATCTTCATCTCTAGAGATGCAAACTACTTTGAAACTGAGGGGATGGACTCCCCTTCCTGCCCCTTTCCCTCCCCTCACAAGGTCCCCAGGTAGCTAGAGGGCAGGCTACACACCAGGGTGAGCATATAGTTTTCTCTGCAGGATAGGCATTGCCAGGGCTGGGGGAAACAGACCAAGGGACAGCTGGGGTATGGTACCTTTGCTGGAGGCTGTGTCTGCTGCGGCAGTGGGGGTTGCTCAGTGGTTCCCATTGGCAGTTCAAATCGAGGGCTGGTCACCCAGCAGCCAGAGAAGACAAGAATAAGAGAAGAACAAGGGTGAGGGAGAAGAAAGGTCAGACTGTGTTAGGAAAATCATACCAAGCCTCTAATCAAGCACAAAGCAACCTGAACCACAGGGACATGGCATCATGGGGCTGGCACTCAGCAACACCTGTGGGAGCCCCACCCTGCCCACACAGAGCTATGAGGCATTGGGCAAGTGCTGCTCAGAGAAAATGAAGGGAACTGCTGTACTGGTAGCAGCAGAAGGCATGTGTCTGCTGGGCAGGAGGGCCTGTGTGCATGGAAGCCCCTTCTCTGCAGGGTCTATCTCAAGTGTGAGTACCTTATCTGATAAGGCACAGAGTCACTCAAAGACCCTCCTCCATCCACTTCAGCATGAATCTATGAACCACTTGCAGGCTCTTGGGCTCTCTAGAGAATGAGATCAACTGGTAGCCTGCAGCAAAGTAGAGGCCAGGTTCCCAACGAACCAGGAGACTGTGTACCTGTTGCAGGGTTGGCAGGCTGGGAGGAAGGCAGGCTCTCCTGTAGGTCCAGTGCCACCCCAGGCAGAAGTCTGGTCCCACAACCACCCAAAGAGACATAGGTGCACTGGGCTCCTGAGGACAAGGCATTAGACCCACTGGCAAGAACAATCTGGCTAGAGCCCATAGACCAGCCTTTAGCCAGGTACCACCGCCTATCACCACATGACCCTGGCCAGTGACTGTGCTCTGAGCCCCAATATTGTCATGTGTGAAACAGGGACAGTCTCTCTTTTTTTTGGAGAGGTTTTTGCTATAGGGTGTGTGTGCTCACCAGACAGACAGAGAGACAGAAAGTGAGAAATCACCCCCCAGGGGGGATGGCCATGCTGCAATCTCTTCTCCGTTCTCCTCTCGGGATTTTGGGCACGCACGCACACGCGCCCAGCGTGAGTTTAAGCCACCGGGTCTGGGACTCGAACCGCGGTCGACTACATGGGAGTCCAGCGACATAGCTATTACACACTAACTGCTGGTCCCAGGGACAGTCTCTTTTTCATATCTGTCAGAGTTATATGAGCTACTGTATATGGCACCCCGAGCTCAGGACTTCCACATAGAAGGCCTTTAAACATCAGGATCTAGGACCAGCAGTTGGTATAATGGCTATGTTGCTGAACTCCCATGTAGTTGACTGCATTTTGAGTCCCGGTCCCAGTGGCTTAGACTCATACCGGGCGCATGTGCGTGTGTGCCCAGGATCCTGAGAGGAGAATGGAGGAGAAGGGATTTCGGTATGACCATCCCTTAGGGAGGTGATTTCTCACTTTCTGTCTCTCTGTCTTTCTGGCGAGCACACATGCACCATAGCAAAAACCTCTAGAAAAACAAAAGAAAAAAAAAATCAGATCCTTTCCTTTAGTGCCGAGGTTCCTAACTTGAGGTCCTTAAACTCCCTAAATGATATGCAAGGCCATGTGTGTGTGAGTTTTGTTGAAGCACAGGACCAACAGATAATCCATGACCCAAGGAAGAAGGCTAAATGCTGGTTGAAGCAGAGCTGCCTCTGTGCTCAGGAAGCAGCAATGGTTCTCCCTCCACCTCCACTTTGTCCCTAGGCCCTGGTGATGACACCATTCAGTGACCACAGCCCAGAAGGACCAGAAAAGGTACAGAGGAAGCCGGTGTAGGGGATGGGGCTGGCTACTCACTGCATGAATTTACATGAGGGCCCTTCCGGGCAGAATCCCACGAGGTAATTTACACAGATGACTCTCCGTGTGTGCCGGTGCCTGCACAGGGGACCTGCAAGCCAAGTGTCCGAGTCACTCAGACATCCCCTCAACCAGTCAGGGCCCTCCCCAGAATGCCTGCCCTGCCCAGGGAGCGAGAGCAGGGCTTTGAATGCTGGCTTTGCCTCTTACTCACAGGGGACAGTTGACAGGACTCAAACTCTTATTACTGGTCAAAATGCACACAAAAATGCACATAAGGCCACCCACATGGCATCCTGGGGAGGCTCAAAGCATATCAGGAGTGTGAAAAAGCCTCACTGGTCTCAGAAGGTTAGATTTTGTTGGGAGAAGCAGGACATGTAGGAACAGGTAGGGGTGATTATCGCAGATGGATCAGCTGACAGCCTTGAAGGTACATGGGCAGAAGAGTGAGGCCTAGCTTCACCCCAGCACCTACCATGTTTGCAGAAGCCGCGGTCGTACCATGGACAGTCCTTGATCTTGGACTCAGGGTCGATGTGTAGGAAGGGGCACTCCTTGTTGCTGCACTCTCCTGCAGGGAAACCCAGACATGTGGCCACCTGGGCCAGTGCCAGGAGAGCTTCTTCCAAGGAAGAAGGATGCAGGTGGTTGTGGTGTCCTGCCTTGGCCTACAGGCTGAGTTCCAGGGCAGCATGTCTCTGGCCTCAGTTTCCTGACCTGAGCAGTGAGGCTGTGGCGTTCCTTCCCTTGCATGCACCAGTGTGGCTAGAAGGGTCAATGACAACATGGGCAGGGCCTGGCATGGGGTACACACTCCTCAAAGTCACTGTTCTGTCACTTACCCAGAATGGGGGCATCCCAGGCAGTGTGGGGGCACCGAGATACACAAACATACCCACTGTTCTGTTCTCTCATATTCACACCCTCTGATCCAAACCCAGAGGAAATGCAAGCTGTTCTCCCCAACCCATAGAGTTCAGACCTCCAACCAAAGCCCCATGGACTCTCTGCTGCTCCAAGACCAATCCTCTGCCATGAATGCTCCCTTCTTGGCCTTCAGGAATCTTCTAAGAGGCCTTTCCTGACTTCTCGGCCTATGGCAGATTCCATCATGTGATGTAACCACTGTTTATTTCTTTCAGAGCATATTCATGATTAAGTTTCCTCTTTTCCTTGGAGCTTAAGTCGAAAGATCCACAGGGCAAGGGCAGGGTCTGTCCTCTTCAGCACTGTCCCTCCAGTGCCTAGAATGGGGACACACAATATATGTCTATGCACAGGTGACAGAAGCTGCAGGTAGGGCAGGCTCTGCAGGGAAGGGCAGGCAGAAGGGGTATCATGGAGCCACAGGGGTGTTCCGAGCCCAGGGCTGTCAGCAGGGAAGGAAGGAACTCTAGGCCAGCTTCCTGAGATGTCCTTGATAGCTTCCCTAAGAGACTACCCAGGAAGGCTGGCTCCTGCCTATGTGTCCAGATGGGAGGTTGCTGCTCATTCCAGGGCTGCTGTCAGCAAGGAACTAGGGGAAACTTGTAGGAGTTAGGGGAGGGAGGATGAGGCAGATTGGATGGAGCTTGAGGAGGGAGAGAGCTGGGAAGTCTGATTTCTATTTCTATTGCCTGTTTGACTTCTGTTTTTGCTGTCTCAACAAAAAAAAATCACAGCTATTATTAATAAGTCAGCAGGCCAAGCCTGTTGGGATGCTGAAATAATTAATGTCTTCTCTGATGAGTGCTTTGAAAGCGTGATGAATGCCCAGCACCCCTCGACTCACCACAAAGACTCCAGCAGGCTACCAGCCTCCTGCCCAGCCTGGGGCCGGCAGTCCTGGGCCCAGAGGTGGCCCTTGTGCTGACCAACAGAGCTCCTTCCTGGGAAACATCAAAGAGCAGACCAGAGCAGAGAACTGAGGACTAACTCTGCCAGGGAACACAACAGCTCTGCTGAGCTCTGCGTTTGCCCCACCACCTCCATCCACTCCCAGCTTCTCCATGCAGCCCACTCAGGACAGCTTAGGCCATGTGCACTCTGAGCAGGGCTCACACAATCTCTGTTTCAAGGTGAAGAGTAGAGCTCCTTAGTACCAGATGACAGTTCCCCAGACCCATTCTTCTGAGGAGCTGTGTAGGATGGGTGAACTACTATCCAGGATCATACTCCCAGAGAGGAGGAACCAACTCAGGCCCAGAGGGCACTCAGTGACACCAGAAGAAGTGGACTTCAGAGAGAAGGTGGACATGAGCGGAAACAAGTCTCCAGTCAGCTGCACGACTGTTTCCCCATGGGACCTTGTTTCTGAGTCTCAACGTCCCAAAGTATTTGAAGTGTTCTACACTGAAGCACTACAAAGGCAGAAAGAGCTCTCAGAGAATAACCACGACTTCCCCACCCAAGAGCCACTGGGGGTTGCCAAGCATTGCCTGAGCTTCTCCTGGGAAGCCAGAAGGCTGGGAAAAGGCAGGCAGAGATGCTGGGGGTGCTTAGTAGCTGGACCAGACCCCTCTGGGTCTGGTTCTCCATGGAGGCTCACAGGGTTCCATGTGCCTTACCAAACTTGGAGTAGAAGTAGCACTCGGGCATCTTAGTCATGTCATACTCGTGCAGGAACTCGCACTGGTCCCCTTTCTTGCACAGTCCCCGAAGCCAGTGTTTGCACACGACTGTCTTCTCACCACTGATGTGGCGGAATGGGCACATGCCCCCTGCCGAGGAAGATGGGGTGGGTGTGAGGAGAGATGCAGTCCTGAGTCTGGGGACTGGGCCTGGGGGAGCAGAGGCACCTCCTCTTCACACCTCCCTGAACAATGGGATGTGAGGCAGTATACTGGCAAACATTTTAAATTTTAGTAGTTACATATTTGACTTAAAGGTGTTTTGGGAAAACATAACTAAGCCATCAAATCATGATTTCAGGTATTACTGTAAGATGGAAGCATAACAAACTCAGGGGAGGGAGCTGAGTTTATTTCTTACTATAATCAAAACATAGTTCCAATAATACACAGACATGGGAAAATTGTAGGAGTGGGAAAAGAAAGACTGATGGTTCGAAAACTCTAACAGATAAAGACACCAGCAGAAGTTGAGACCCCAGAAAGGCTCTGTCACCCAGTTAAAAATGCCCACTTAAGGACCAGATGGCAGCACAGCAGTAAAACACAACGCACTGTGAGGCAATCCTACACAGGAAGGTTCCTGGTTTATGTCAGGAGACCTCCCGAGTACAGGTGCCCACGGTCTGGGGTTGGCTGAAGACTATGGTTGGATTATGGCACTGAGACCCTGCTGAGGGTACTTGCTCTCTTGCTCTCAGAATAAATAAACTAAAAAAAAATAAAAAATAAAAAGAGTGCCCCCTTTGTCTCCAAGAACTATGATTAAATTCAGAATTAAAGACTAGTAATGTATAAAAGTCGGGGAGATGTGCCTTTATTAACAGGACCTGAGAGATCATCTACCCATATGGGGCAGAGTCACCCTCTAGGAACGTCAGACTCTTTTTTTAAAAAAAGAACTAGTTAGTTAAATAAATAAATATACTTATTTATTTATAATAAAAAAAAATCCCACAGCATTAATTGCCAACTAGTAATAACATAAGGGTAATCAAAACAATATGAACAAATTTTTAGAACTATACTCTCCATGAAGGGAACAAACTATTGTCTTCTCAGCAAGTTCTCACTTTACCATTTCTACTTGGAGACACTTTGTAGCAGTTACAGTATCTCTTTTTAACATGATCTGACCCAGTTGTTAATTCTTGACTTTGTTTCAGAATGAATCTCCTCCGCATCATCTAATACAAGGTTCATACACTCATCCAAACCAATGATACAGCCTTCTATCCCCATATTTACTTGCCCATAGAGCCACACCTGAATCCGGGATCTATTCTGTAAGTATCTGAAGATGAGGTTGATGGGCTACACCATCACCTTCTGCACTTTCTGGCCCTGGCCTCGGTACACGATGGTGGAATCTCACAAAGCTAATTTTATTTATTACTGGGTCGTTAAAAAGTCACAATGTGGGACCAGCAGTTAGTGTAATGGCTATGTCGCTGGACTCCCACGTGGTCGACCGCGGTTCGCGTCTCGGACCCGGTGGCTTAAATCTCACGCTGGGTGCGTGTGCCTGCGTGCCCAAGATCCCAAGAGGAGAATGGAAGAGAAGGGATTGTGGTGTGGCCATTCCCCCTGGGGGGTGATTTTTTGCTTTCTGTCTCTCTGTCTCTCTCTGTCTGGTGAGCGCACATGCCCTATAGCAAAAACCTCTCAAAAAAAAAAAAATAAATAAAAAAGTCATAGAAAAGTGTTTTTCTATGCAAAAGTGCATCATGACGTTCCTGACAACCCAATATTATTATTATTCTCTCTCTTTTTTAAAGTTTTGCTGTAAGGCATGTATACTTACCAGAGGGAGACAGAGAAAGGGAAGGTGAGAAAGCAAGTCGCCAGGTCTGGGATTCAAACCATGGTTGGTTATGTGGGAGTCCAGCACCTTAACCACTATGCCACCTGCAAGTCCCAGACTTCTAACTAATGGCCTGGAAGGACCACTGGGAAGGCCCAACCTGAATGAGGCTGTTAACGGGGAAACATCTCAACCAGTGCTGTCTCGCAGAACTTTCTGCAATGATGGAAATGCTCTACATCTCTACTGTTCTATGCAGCAGTCACTAGCCAAATGTGGCTTACTGACCACTTTAAATATTACTTCTGTGGCTGAGGAACTGCATTTCAAATGTTATTTAATTTTAATTAATTTAAGTTCAAATAACCACATGTGGCTGGTGGCTATTGTAATAGTTAACACAGAGACAGTCACAGTGCCATGTTAAGGATGGCTGTGCTAACAGAAAGTGGCTGGGCAGACGGCAGAATTCATGAACTGAGACACGGGAATGGGACCAGAAACCAGTGGAGAAATGATGTTCTGACCAGACATTGTGATGTCGACCTGCCTGATCTGTCTGGAAGTCTATTGTTTGTGAATGATGCATTACAGAACAGAACTCACCAAAATCATCCTTTAAAACCCCTACAGGGAAAAAAAGTTTCCCAAACCTATACATAGATACATTATGTAAGATTCTGCCCTGCAGTGCTTCTTATGAATTAGCAGATAGTCTGGCTCATGCAGCCAGATTATCATGGGGTCATTTTTTTCTTTTCTTTTTAAAGGGGGGGGGGGCAGCATGCATTCAAGCACATGGGAAGGAAGGAGGGAAGAAAAGAGGGAGAAAGAGACAAGAGAAACATTTTTGACAGGATCTTACAAAGTCAAGATCCTCCTGCCCCAGCCTCCCAGCCAGTTAGGACTACAGGCACACACTGTTGCTCCCGGCCTGCTAGGCTGAGCTGGGACAGAACCTGGGCCCCAACTACCGCACAGCAGCACCCTTCTACTTGCACCATCATGGCTGGGCCATACTGGAGTGTCTTTTGAGGAAAGGCCACAGAAGACAATGGGCCTGCATAGACTGTAGAATCAGAAAGGCCCGGCTTCTGATACCAGGCTCAGCCATGCATAACTCTGTGACCTTGAGAAAGCACCTGAATGCTGTTGGCCTCTGACCATTTCACAGGTCAGCTTGTGGACATGGGGAAAAGAAAGGTGACAAGGCAGCTTCAGAGACAACTTCAGTCCTGCATTTTAAGTTTCAGGCAGAACGCCCCTTCAGGTTCCTAGCCTATCAAAACTGTAGCTTCATTGAGGGACACCTATCTTCAGAAAGCAATGCAAGTCACAGACCTGGTAGCCTACAAGTCTACTAGGGGACAAGGTGGTAGGAGGGCACCCAAGGAGGCATATCAAGAGCCAAGGATTTCTTACCTTTGCCACAGGCGGCTTTCAAAAAGAATTCGCAGACAGCAGCCCCCGACTCTGTAGACAGGAGAGAAAAGGAGAGGCATCAGACAAAGCTAGGTGCAACTGTGACTGGTGACATCTAACAGTGGGAGGGAACCCTAATGGCCTTTGATCTATGCTCAGGGTACAGCAAATAGTGACAAAAAATACATGGCAACCAAGTAAGGGAAAAGCTGCTTAATTCATTGATTCCCTGTAAAATGAGACATAGATATTGAGAACAGATGTTATTTAGTGATCTCTGGGAGCCTCCAGTAAGCACAATGCTTCTAAGGAGTTAAAAGTAGGTGGGAGGGGGAGCAGCAGGTGGCATTGTGGTTAAAGGTGCTAGATTCACACATGGCCGACCATGGGCCAAGTCCCAGACTTGGTGGCTTGCTCTCTCACTTTCTCTCTCTCTCTCTCTGTCTGGTCAAATTAAAAAATAATAACACATGGAATTAAATAATTTTTTTTTTTTTTGGAGAGGTTTTTGCTATAGGGTGCGTGCACTCGCCAGACAGACAGAGAAACAGAAAGCAAGAAATCACCCCCCCAGGGGGGATGGCCACACCACAATCCCTTCTCCTCTATTCTCCTCTTGGGATCTTGGGCACGCTCGCACACGCGCCCGGCGTGAGTTTAAGCCACCGGGTCTGGGACTCAAACCGCGGTTGACTACATGGGAGTCCAGCGACATAACCATTATGCTAACTGCTAGTCCCAATAAATAATTTTTGAAAAAAAAAAAAGAAAAAAGTAGGCAAGGGAAAAAGGATAGAGCACAAGTTCACAGAAATATATTATCCCCAGCTCAGACTTCTCAGGAGGGCTAATTCACGGGTACCTTTAACATAAGGCAGAAGGAAGGAATGCTATCATGGGAAGTACAAAAAAGTGAACAAAATCTCTGAAGAGGGGCAGACTCCAGAAACAAGGCAAGAGACTCGAGTCCAAAAGGAGGGTATGAGTGAAGACACAGAAGCAGGACTGCTCTCAACATGGAACATCCACATACAATCATTAAAGAGTAGTCTTTCATTCCCACAGATGGTGGATGGTGAGTTGTGGTGAAGGCAAAGATCCCAGAGACAGAGTGTGGTAGAAATCAATAGGCTCCAGGAGGCCAGCTGTTCTGGTAATCCAACAATGGCCTCTGAATCCCCCTGACATGCCTCCTGCTAACTCGCATGAGATTCCTTGGTTTCTCAGAAGCAGGAAGATTTTGCTAGGACAAAGTTAAGATTTTAGAACACAGGGGTGTATAGGAAGTCATAGGGATGTCACCCTGTATGCGTTTCAAAAAGTCTTATATTAAAAAACGTACTGGAAGGACCAGCAGGTGGCATGGTGGTTAAGATGCTGGACACGACCACGTGGCTGATCATGGTTTGAGTCCTGGACGTGGTGTCTTGCTTTCTCACTTTCCCACTCTCTTTCTCTCTCTCTGTTCAAATTGAAATAAATGAGTAAATTAAATTAGTAAAAACAAAAAAATACAAAAACCTTTAAAAAAAAATGTACTGGGAGGCCAACAGGTAGCATGGAGGTTAAGGCACTGGATCCCACATAGCCAACTTTGCGGTTTAAGTCCCAGACCCAGTGGCTTGAAAATCACCCTGGGTATGTGTGCCCAAAATCTTGAGGAGAGTGGAGAAAGGATTGTGACACAGCCATCCATATGGGGTGTTGAGGGGTGATTTGTGATTTTCCCACTTTCTCTGATGAGCACAGATGTTCTGTAGCAAAAAAAAGAACTGGGTGAGCTCTGTGGTCTGGTGGTTAAGGCAGTCAGATCCCATATAGGTGACTGTGTGGTTTGAGTCCTGGACCTAGCAGCTTGAGAAATGCACCAGATGCACGTGCATGTGCATGTATATCCAAAATCCAGAAAGGAAAAATGGAGGGATCAGCAGTTGGCATAATGGCTATGTTGTTGGACTCCCATGTAGCCGACTGTGGTTTGAGTCCC